CGACAGATTCCAGGGCAATTTGTAGGCCAAGAAGGTCTTAGGGGTAAGAAAAGAAGGGGGAAGGGAGGGTGGGAAGTTTTAGGTGGGGAAGGGAGAACGTCCATATCTTAAAATGTCTATATCTGTCTTCCTTTGACAAAGAATTAGGTAGTGTTGTGAACTAACAGTAGAAATGAGCCTAATTAAATTTATGATATATAATGTGAAAGGGTTAAACTTTCCAACAAAAAGACACAAGATAGTGAGGGAAATCCACCAACATTTCATAGATGTAGTGTTTCTTCAAGAGACACATATAACTCAAGATACAAACGTCAAGTTATATTCAAAGCATTATACAAGATGGTATTATGCTGACTCTCCAATTAAAATGGCTAAAGTAGTAGCATTTGGGTTTTCAAAAAAACGTAAGTTTCACCCTGAAGGGGAGATTAGAGGACCTCGAGGGTCGGTATCTGTTCCTGAGGGGAAAATTAAAGGATCTGAATATACATATTGAAGAGATCATTATATCAATGCCAACTGATCGACACTTGGAGAATAAAACATCCAAAAGAAAGAGATTATACCTTCTTCTCTCCAGTACATGGTTCATATTCAAGATTGGACTATATAATAATCAAACATAGACAGCTGGAGTCGTTGGTTAGTTATGTCCATCTCTGATCATGCTCCTGTCACAATGAGGCTATGGGTAGGAGGGGATCAGGATAAACTAACTATGTGGAGAATAAATGAAATGCTTATACAGGATCCTGAAACAGAGACAAGGCTAAGGCAGGAAATTGAGAAGTTTTTTGAGCTCAATGAGACTAAGGAGGTTTCAGTGGCCACAATTTGGGAGGTACACAAAGCATATTTTAGGGGAGTATTGATTTCGATAGGAGCGGAAAAAAAAGTAAGAAAGAGGGAAAAAATAAAGATGGTGATAGAGGAGCTATATAAGTTAGAACAGTTACATAAAAAGAAGATAGACACAGATGTTTATCAGAAGATAATTTCCAAAAGAGAAGAACAAAAGGATCTTATGGAACAGGAATTGAGAAGAATATTTAATAGGGTTTCAAAAGAAAGATACCAGTGGGGGAACAGACCTGGAAGATACTTAATGAGGAGGTTAAAGGAAAAGATATCTAAAAACGTTATAGAAAAAAATTCAAGACAGAAAAAGAGAAATGGTTTATTCCACCACTGATATTGCCAATAGGTTTCAAAAATATTATAGTAGACTGTACGATGTGAGCTCCAGAAATCAAAAAGAAACAGAGGATGAAAAGAAGAAAATAAGGCAGGAATATTTAAAGGAGGCGGCGTTACCAATAATAGCAGAAGAAAAATTAGACTCCCTAGAGAGAACTATTACCCCTGAGGAAATTACTTTGGCCTTAAAGAACACGGCTGCAGGAAAGAGCCCTGGCCTGGATGGATATACGGTGGGATATTTTTAAAAAAAATTTGAGATCTCCTTGTCCCTAATATGTGTGGTTATATGAATGCAGTAGGGGAGGGGCTGTAAATAAGGGAAGAGCCATTGGAAGCGTACATAACAATTATACTTAAAGAAGGAAAGGATAGCTCACAGTGTGCCAGTTATAGGCCCATATTCTTATTAAATATTGACACTAAACTGTACGCTAAGGTTCTGGCAATTAGATTGAAGGAGCTGATGCTGGTATGGATACACCTGGATCAGGTAGGATTCATTCGCTGGAAGAGAAGGAAAGGACAACAGCCTGAGATCACTTCTCCTCTTACAAATGGCAAAGAGAGAGAATCAGCCAACAATATTTCTGTCGATTGATGCCGAAAAGGCTTTTGACAGGGTTAACCGGGGGTTTATGTTTGAAATGCTAGAGGCCTTAGGATTAGGGCCTAAAATGATAAGGTGGATAAAAGGGTTATATAATAATCCATCAGCGGCAGTTAAGGTTAATGGATCCCTCTCTGTTTTTCAAAATGTACAATTGTACTAGACAAGAATGTCCACTTTCTCCTTTGTTGTTTGTTCTGTCCCTGGAACCTGTCCTGACGAGGGTAAGAAAATGTGTAGATATAGTAGGAATAAAGATAGTGGAGCATAAGGTAGCAGCATATGCGGACGATATGTTATTCTATATTGTAAATCCTAGAATAACGTTGCCCAATTTACTGAAATTAATAAAACAGTATGGCGAGGTATCAAACCTGAAAACAAATCCTGCAAAGTCAGAAATTTTAAATATCAATACACCAAAGCTAGAGATAGTGAGTTTACAAAAATATTTTCTATTTACCTGGAGGGAAAAGGAAATAGGCTATCTGGGAATAAAACTAACATCTTCAATAAAAGTCCTGTACCTGGCGAAATTTTATTGCAATAATAAATTAAATAAAGGAGGAGCTGGGGAGTCTTTTAAAGGGAAGAGCCTCCTGGATAGGTTGTATAAGTTAATCTAGGGAATATCTGATTGCCTCTCGGGGGATCAGGAAGGAATTTTTTTTCCCTGCAGGAGCAAATTGGATCATGCTTTGCTGTTTTTTTTTGCCTTCCTCTGGATCAACTGTGGGTATAGGATTCTAACTTTTTTTTTTTTTAATGGTTGAACTGGGTGGACTTTTGTCTTTTTCCAGCCAGACTATGTATAAATCTAGTAAAGATAGTGATAGTACCAAATATCCTGTATAAGTTTCACATGCTTCCAATACACCTTTAAACCTGAATATCAACTCCGTTCTTTGGGATAATAAAGAAGTTGATATTCAGGTTTATATGGGCTAACAAGAAACCGAGAATTAGGTATGAGGTATTATGTAGGGCAAAAGGAATTGGGTTTACCTAATATTAGGGAATATTTAGCGGTGTTATTATCACGAATAGTAGATTGGACATTTAATTCACATAGGAAAGGTTGGGTTAATATAGAAGGGATTTTAAGTAAAGCACAGTTAGAGAAGATTGTTTGGATTCCACATAAATTTTGCACATTGAATGTGAATACTAGTCCATTGACAAAGAAAGTTTTAAGTGTTTGAGATAGAATGTTTAAGCAAAAAGGATGGAAACATAACTCAGTATTGACTTCCTTGGTGGGAACGGAGTATTTCCCCCCAGGGAAGGATAATATCTCTGGGAAATGGATCAAAGATAAAAATGCACGTTTGAAGGATATTTTGAATAAAGGGAAATTGCACACATTTTTGATTCAAAAAGGAAAAAAGATTTATTTTTTACATTAGATGAGTGGCAGTATGGTCAATTAGTTCATTTTGTTTCAATGCTCCCACAACCACTGAGGACGTCGGAGGATCAGTATCCATTTGAAAAATTGTTGAATGTAACTACAGGTCCAAAACAATCCACCTCTAGGATTTATAAGATACTTATGGATATTGAAGAAGCTGAGCCTCCCCAGTTCTGGGCAAAATGGGAAAAGGAACTTGGAACAGAATTGAATGAGCAACAAAGGAATAAAATATTTAATTTAACACACAAGGTTACCGAATATATGCAGGAAATATGTGGGATTACTGTACAGAGGGACCCGTAAATGTGCCTATTTTATAATCTTGAGCCTTCAGTGAAACTGCATAAAAATAGGGTACTATACCATCTAATTAGGGCCACTAAGGGCTTGATTCCCAAGTTCTGGCAAGCTCTAGAGCCACCACTAATAAATGATTGGCTAAATAGAGTGGAAAATATTTATAGGATGGAGGAGCTATATCATATAGAGGAGGATAAAAAAAGAAAAATTTAGGAAAATGTGGAGCAGTTGGTTAAATGTTAAAACATCTAAAAGATATCCGGAGTTGGTCGGAGTCTAGGGGGAAATCTAGAGAGGGCTTAACGGAACGTAGAGAGAGTGGAGGTGTGAGAGAAGAGATATGGATATAGATAGACAACTATGAGAGAAGACAGGAACTGGGTTAAAGGACGTGGACTGGGGTAAACAGAGGAGGGGGAGGCTGGGAGGAAGGGTGGGGGTAGGGGGTAAGGTGTTGTAAAATGGAATTTTAAGTACATGTGAAGTGTTTATGTACTAGGTTGTTCCTTTCTTTGTTTTGTACTGGAAAATGTAATACATTTAAATTAATGATGTCAGTGACGGCAAAAACACCCCAGCCTAAGAAGCCAACACACAATCTGGGAAGGGTTATCCGTGACTGGATGTTAGGAAAAGTTCTTTGTTACTCCATTCCTGCAACCATTAAGTCCAAACTTAAGTTTGATTTGGTCCACTCTCAAGGTCTAGAGCTCCAAGTTCACCAAACCCTAAGACAAATCTTCGACATTAAGGTGCATCCCCAATTCCAAAAGTTGAACTCATCTATTAGTCTTTGGGAATACCTGGACAGCTATACTGAATACTTGGACAGCTTGCATTTCAGATGTTTGGGTTTGGGAGTTTCGAGAGGCTACACTCCGAGCCTCCTTCCCTTCCAACCTTCCTTTTTCACTGCATATCTTCAGGTATCTCTTCCTAGTCTTTCTGGTCTGAAGATATCATCGCCCCAATTCCTGTAGCAGAACAGTTTCAGGGGTTTTGCTCCAACTTGTTCACAATCCCAAAACTCAAGGGGAGCATCCACCCCATCTTAGATCTCAAACTCTGTCTTCTTTTGAGCTCACAAATTTTCCATGGAATATTACTGGTCTGTCTTCACCTCTGTTCACTAGGATATCACCAATAAGGTGATATATTCCTGGCCAAAAACTCCCCTCACCAAGGAGACTTTGTGAATATCAAGGACAGGTACCTACATTTTCTCATATTGTTAGCGCACAATTATCTGTTACCATTTGCTGTAGGTCTCCTGTACTTTCAGTTCATCACCCTATGATTTAGCCTGTCATCTACACTTCAGGTGTTCATCATGGTGCTGGTCCCAATACTAGCCCTGCTGTGCTCTTGGGGCACCCCCACTGTGAAATATTGGGATGCCCCTCCAAATCGTTGGATTCAGGTGTTCCAATCCCCTCCATGGTGTTCCAATCACCTCCATGGTCACAGGTGTATAAAATCAAGCACCTAGGCATGCAGACTGCTTCTATAAAACATTTGTGAAAGAATGGGTCGCTCTCAGGAGCTCAGTGGATTCAAGCGTGGTAGTGTGATAGGTTGCCACCTGTGCAATAAGTCCATCCGTGAAACTTCCTTGCTACTAAATATTCCACAATCAACTGTTAGTGGTATTATAACAAAGTGGAACCAACTGGGAACAACAGCAACTCAGCCACGAAGTGGTAGGCCACATAAAATGACAGAGTGGGTCAGCGCACGCTGAAACATACAGTTTGCAGACGTTGCCAACTGTCTGCGGAGTCAATAGCTAAAGACCTCCAAACTTCATGTGGCCTTCAGATTAGTAAAACAACAATGCGTAGAGAGCTTCATAGAATGGGTTTCCATGGCCAAGCAGCGAAATCCAAGCCCTAAATCACCAAGTGCAATGCAAAGCATCTGATGCATTGGTGTAAAGCATGCTGCCACTGGACCTTAGAGCAGTGGAGACATGTTCTCTGGAGTGACAAATCACACTTCTCTGACAATCCGATGGACAAGTCGGGGTTTGGCGGTTGCCAGGACATAGGTACTTGCCTGACTGCATTGTGTCAAGTGTAAGGTTTGGAGGGGGGATTATGGTGTGGAGTTGTTTTTCAGGGGTTTGGCTTGGTCCCTTAGTTCCAGTAAAGGGGACTCTTAAGGCGTCAGCATATCAAGACATTTCGGACAATTTCATGCTCCGAACATTGTGGGAACAGTTTAGGAATGGCCCCTTCCTGTTCCAACATGACTGCGCACCAGTGCAAAAAGCAAGGTCCATAAAAACATGGTTGAACGAGTTTGAGGTGAAGGAACTTGACTGACCTGCTCAGAGTCTTGACGTCAACCCGATAGAACATCTTTGGGATGAATTAGAGCAGAGACTGTGAGCCAGGCCTTCTTGTCCTACATCAGTGCCTGACCTCACAAATGCACTTCTGGAAGAATAGTCAAACATTCCCATAAACACACTCCTAAACCCTGTGGACAGCCTTTCCAAAAGAGTTGTTATAGCTGAAAAGGGTGAGCCAATACTTTTGGCAATATAGTGAATTTAGACAACCTCCTGCTGAGGAAATAGTTGACAAATTCATTTGGACAATTTAGCCTTAACTGTTTAGACATTACAATGATTTGGATGGATCCCGAGCCTTTAAAATTTAGCACTAGAAGTAACTCTACTCTTAGAGTATTTGAGTCTACTAGAAACAGCTTTCAGCATCAGGCTACTGTTTTCCAGTTTTGTAAGGCTGCTACTTGGTCTCCTGTTTACTCTCTCTAAGTTCTACCAGGTGGATGTTCAGGCCTTATCCGAAGCCAGCTTTGGTCGTACTTCAGGTCTTTGAAGCTCTTTGAGCTTCAGGTAGTCCCCAGTTCTGTTGTTTTTTTTTTCCATCGCAGAGGTTTAAGACTTGTGTCCCTCAACAGACAAGGACAAAGATTTTATAGTCAGTGTAAACATCCCTGTGAAGGGAGGAGCCGACCAGCTGTACGGTAGGAGGGAGGTACATATGAAAAAGGATATGCATGTATGGCTTGAACAGCATAAGCAAAAGTGGTTGGACCAATTCTTTTTACAATGAATGTTTTTGGAGGTAGCTGTGGCAGCCCCAGCTCTACTGAGAGTGTCCCTGCCGGTAATTTATTTAAAGACCTGTGGACAAAATTAAAGGAATGCCATGACAAGGAGCTATTGGCCTAGACCATATTTTCACTATTACAATTCCCTTTTGTAAGTGGACATCGGCAAATTTCAGAAATATCCAGTGAACGAACAATAAGAGGAGGGATTAAGGGACAACAAAATGTAGAGTTGACATCATCAGTATAGTGATATATTCTAGGCTAAAAGGGAGTTGGAGGCAGAGGTGTAGCACAGAATCACTAGAATTGTCAACCTCCTTATTCTGTGCAGCCATAATGTACAGCATGTTAAGTATATCACAAAACTGCATTACTTTAGAATTCATATGATAGGTACAACAGTTTCTGTAGATTTGTTTAAATTGCGTCTTCAGTTGGTTTGCTTGTGCTGCCCTTCAATTTCCTTGGTCTGTTGACTCTCATAATACATTCTTAAAATGCTTTTAATTTAATGCCTTATTCCCTGCGATCTCTAAACAGCTTTCCTATTTTGGCTGTATATGCTAGATCAGTGGTCCTCAAAGCACTCTAATAGTGCATGTTTTTTTTTTCAAATCTGTTCAAAGACTCACGGGTGAGATAATTAGAGTTGTTCTCTTTTGCAGGTTACTAATTAATGCAGTGATGTCATTGCTGTATTAGATTATGATCTGATTTTAAAGGAAACATTTGAGAATATAAATACAGGAGATGTAATTTCTGTCTTGTTTTTAAAGGTACAGGCTCCATGACTGGCATGTTATTCTCACTTCACTACCTTGTAAGTTTCTGACAAGCATGCTAGAGTGGAGACAGGGCTATTTGGACTTCATTGGCTGCATGTTTGTTCCAGGCTAACTAGGTAATAAAGCCAGGAGCCACATTAGACTATAATATGACCCACAACAATTCAATTGCCTTTCTTTTCAGTGCAATTGCAGTCCAAATGAATATCCTGTTTATCTTCCACTGCCGAAAAAGATTTAATGGTGTTATGTTGACACTAAAATCTTCTTACATTTCACTGTCTCATTTTTTAATCCTTGAATACATACCGGTCACCGTTATATAGCAGTGTACAGTTGGAATTGCAGGTTCATTACAGATCACTGTGCCCTCTACAGATGTTCCATCTCCTAATGATTTTTACAAGTATTAAGTGATGATCTCTTTCCTGTGTCTGCCTTGTAGGCTTCTCCATCTTCGTGAATCAGGATCACAGTTGAAAACTCTCTCTATGCATGGATTTTCCCAGCATTGCTAAATTGTGTATGACATGAGGGATATCAAGATCATAGCCCTGGATGAGTGACACCAGGATTTCTCATACTCCATGCAGTACAGAAAGCTTCAGCTGTCAGATGAATGCTTTCCTGTTACCTTAATGTTTTTAATGGCAGCATGTAAGACGTGCTACACAGTAGAAAGTTATGTCCTGTATACATAGTAGTATTTGGAAAAGTGGGATTAAATTGTGCTCAGATGGATAGTTTCAGCACTAAACAAAAAAATCTACAATATACATTAGAAACCATCAAAACAACAGGTTACAACTGGAAACATTCTTTAAGGTAGAACTCCAGTAGAACATTTTCTGTAAGGTCTAGCTATATTTATTTTCTATGCAGCTAATCCTTGACTCAGTCTGTGTCCTCCATACAATAGAGCAGCTTAACTCTGATCGGTAAAACTGCACTTTCCTAGCCTGCAATTAGTTCTATAGGTTCTCAACTTCACCTCTTCAAAAAGCCCCACCACTGAGCACAAGCTACACATCTTCCCTATAATTTTCAATTCCCAATAAGAGTGCAGATGGGGTTTTGTTCAAGTCAACCTTTATGTTCTTTCCTTTATTTCAACAGGCAGTGCAGGCCAACCGAATGCCTGCACAATTTAAAGCTGAACTCCAGGCAAACAGCTAAGTACACAAATTAAGTTACTCCACTGTCTTTGCATATTTATTCCCACTGAACAACAGCATTAGACACAGTATCATTGACCACTGCACCCTGTACACAGTGCTGTATCTTACATAAACCTTAACCCCACATTGCATTATCTATGTTGTACATTATACTCCTGACCCCTGCACTGCATTCACTATGCTGTACATCATACCCTTTATCCCTGCACTGTATTTACATTATGTTGTACAGTATTCTTCTGCCCCTTGCACTGTATTTTCTGTTGTAAGTTAAATACCTGGCCCCTGCACTGTATATACTATCTGATAAAGAGATGTCCATGTGATGATTTTTATTGAATATACAGGAGTGACATAAAAGCAAGTTGATGCATTTCGGCACTCTGCACAGATGCTGTGAACAAAAGCTGTGTGCCAAAATGTGTCAGCTTACTTTTATGTCACCTCTGTATATTTAATAAAAGTGATCACATGGATTTTGGAGTTGTTGGCTCTCTTTATCAATTTGTATTGAACTCAGGAGTTGGAGGACACCACAGAGCTTGAGCACCTGTGTTTGGATACCTTCATTTAACTACAGGTGTGGTTTCCTGTGAGCGCTGCTCTTGCATCCTGTGTCCATTTGACTGTATATACTATGTTGTACATTAAACTCCTAACCCACTCACAATATTCTGTATATTGTACATTATATTCCTGACCCCCAAACTTCAATCACTATGTTGTACGTTATACTACTGACACCCTCACTGTATATGTTATATTGTACATTAGACTTCTACATTTTACCATTATGTCTGTAAGGGTTAAATGTGTCAGAGGGCAGTCTGTAGGTGGGGATTTGCGGCATGTTCTGTGTGGCTTAATAGTGTGGCTCACTGCATTCACTATGTTGTACTTAGTACTGCATAATCTTTACGATTAAACTTGTAGGGGAAAATGCATTAAGGTGGAAAACTCTCCAAGTGGGGATCTGTGACATGATCTGTCTGGCTAAATAAAGTTTATTGAAGAAAGTGACATCATCAATAATCATATTTTGATGTACACAATATTCCTGATCCCAGCAGTGTATACGCTATGTTGTACCTTATACTGCTGATCCCTGCACTATGTATGCTATGTTGTACTTTATGCATCCAACCCTTGCAGTGTATATAATATGCTAATCATTTTACTCCTGACCCCTGCACTGTATATGCTGTGTTGTACATTATGTTTAACTGGGTGACAGAGTCCTAACTAGTTTAATTGCACAGGAATTTTCCACCTACAAAACCTTCAACACATCAGCATCTACAACAAGGATTGCAGTACTCAGCAAAAAGAACCATGCCAAATTTTATGCCAAATGTGTTTGCAGTGTATATGGTGTTTGTCGCTGTATTTTCTGCAAGAGCTGTTGAGTTGCCACACTTATAATAGCCTGTGTGGACTAAAAAACTGTTGCTAGCTAAACAAATACTTAAGTAATTATATTAATGAGCAATAACTACTTGGCTGTGTTGCTGTCCTTATTATGATAAATATTTTGTATACAGAGTATTTTGAAAGTAAAGCGGAGTTCCACAAAAAAGTGGAATCTCCGCTTGTTTGCCTCCTCCTCCCCTCCACTGTCATGTATGGCACTTTTTGAGGGGAAGGAGCGGGTATCTGGTTTTGACAGGTATCTGCTCCCTCTTCCGGCTCAGTTCGCCGTGGCGAAGTGACCTGGAAGTTCAACCCCCTCCTTCCTCCCACAGTGTCCTGGGAACCTTCACAGGTCTCAGAAGACTGCCAGACCAATCAGGATGCGCCGTGGGACTCACTCATACGCAGTGAGCTCCCGACTATGAAGCCACAAGCTGTCACAGCCTGGTGCCCACAGTTAAGATGACAGCGCTGTGGAGAGAAGGAGAAAAGGGACGGTGCTGGTGAGCACATTTCTGGACCCTGGGCCGGGTAAGTGTGAGTTTATTAAAAGTCAGCAGCTACAGTTTTTGTATGGCTGATTAGCATGTATTGGGTGGGGTGAGGGGAGTAATGTATCAAGCTGCT